TTTGCGTGTGCATTTCAAGCAGCAGTAAGAATAATAATCTGAATAAATTATCAGTTCGTGCTAATTATCCAGTTTTTTTTTAGAAGAAATCATAGTGTACTTGATATCAAACTACAACATACAGAGTACCCTGAGTTGTGTTCAATCTAAAATACAGATACAACCAAAGTGTGCACTTTAAAAAATTTCTGAGTCTTTTTAACTGCTGTTATTTTTGGTTTTTTTAAAAAAAAAAATCTGTTGATCAAAATCTGCTGAAAAAGTATTTTGGATTACATAAACTTGTTTATATGTTTGGCTAATAGCAGCTGCAAATCCAAAAGGGTAAAAAAGTATAACAATAGAAGAAGAAGAAGAAGAAGAAGAAGAAGAAAAAGCTTGATGAAAAACACTTTTATCAAATGGTAAAGTTTTTACAGTAAATGTACTTTGACTTCAATTTTTCTTCTTCTTGTTTTTTTTTTCCTTTCTTTTGTTTTTCGTTGTGATTTGTCATCTTAAACCTTATAAAAAAAAAATGACAGTTTTTCTCCACCATATCGCCTGTTCTTTGCAGAAATTTATGTCAAAAAAAAAAAGCGATGTTTCTTGAGCAAATCTATCAAAAAAAAAAAAACAAAAAAAATGTGTTGTAAGCGAAAAAAAAAAAAAGTAAAATTTTAGTACACAGTATCTGAGAACAAAAAAAAAAAATACGACTTTTTATTACATTTTTATTTCTCGAAAAAAAAACTAATACAACATCATAATCACATATTATTTTATGCTTTAATGTAAAGATAGAAAAAAGCAAAGTATTGTAGCCGATTGTAAGAAGAAATTGTAATAGAGAATTGCCAAAAAAATTTACTTTAATTTGTTGTTATATGTGTTAAATAAAACAACAAAAAAACTGTTTTTTTTTTTTGTTTTTTCTTTGAATAACATATCAAACAATTTTACCTTTAAATTATTATATCACTTCTACCATTCGTATGAAAAAAAAAAATGAAGTTTCTGTTCACTCATTAAGTTTAGCAAATCTTCAAAAAAAAAAATCTATTTTGAAGATTTGCAATTGCAGATTAATAATCTGGAAATATTTTTTTTTTTTTTGTAATTAGAAACAGTTATCACCTAAAATGAGTGAGTTTAAATGCTGTTGTTAAACTTCTTACCAAACACCTTTAGCTGAATTGCTTTAGTTTTTTTTCTCAAAACATTTTATATTCAATACGTAAAACTGTTAAAAAGCAATGTCTTTTCTTTTCCCCCCCCCTCCCCACCCAAAAAAAATTGTCTATATTTATAAATTTTGGCAAAAAAAGTGATAAAATTAGATTTGCTTTTTTTGCTTCTTCAAATAACCTGATTATACTTTTTGTTCTTTTTTTTTGTTAGCACTATGTATCACTGTTACTTATTTAGTCCATATTTTTTGCTTAATAAACAAATGATTTGGTATAAGCAGTGAAAAAAAAAATTTTTTTGTTTAGTTATATTTTACTGTCAAAAAAAACAGGATATATTTTGTTTGAAAATGTTATGTATACTTCTTTCATTTGCTGAACAGTAATATTGTTCAAGGAAAAAAAAAGATCAGTCAGCTATTAATTTTGGTAACATTTCAATTGTCACTTAGCAACTTTGTTCCAATATTACAGTGTAAAATAAACAGTTTAGGAACTTTTTAAGCTATTATCGTCAAAAAAGTAACTGGCATATGATAAAGTTTGCCTCTTCTACAGCATCAAATTAGGTGCATTCAAAACGGCAGCATTAGCAATAGCTTTGATCACTGAAATTGATCTAATTGACAAGCAACAATAAAATTAAATAGTTTTAATTAAGTTGGGTTAAAAAAATGTGCAAAACACTGAAAAAAGCTGTCTGTCGAAAACAGTTTTAATAGCCAATTATCATAACATTTATTGTCGGATACATACAGCTTCCTAGACGATGGTTCAAAACTCACTTTTTTTTTCTCTTCGTCTGCTTTACTCAGTGATTATGTCCTTAAAAATTTTATCAACAGCTGCCAACAGAACCAAGTTTTATTTGTCTTAAGTTTTGGAAGATTAAGAAAAAAATTAGAGCTTTATATAAGAACACTAAGTTTCTTACATATACAACTTTTTTTTTTCTTTCTTTCTTTCTTTCTTTCTTTCAATATCGACATATTTCTTTGAACAATTATAACAAATGTGTTGCCAAAACAAGATTGAACTAAGAACAGTTGTGTGGAAGATTCACACTCAAACACACACACACACACACACACACACACACACACATCGATCCAAAACATTTATTTCAAAAAACAGTTCTTTTCTTTTTGGACAAGAAGAAAAGTTTTATTTTTTTTCTCTTCTTTTTTACTGCTATAATTAATCTAAAAAAAAAAATAATGTACAAAACAATTAACTACAACGAAGTGATACAATAAAAAAAAAACAAAAAATTGGTAGGCAAAAGAGAAACAAATGAATATATTAAAGAAGTGAAATTAAGAGAACAGAATCAAAAAACAACAACAATGTTTTTGAACATCCTAACATCCATTTCTGTGTAACTATTATTTTGTTAGTTAATTTCTTTACTTTAATTATTCACAAAAAAAAACACTTACAAAAAGATGAGGTTGTAAAAAAAAAAAAAAGAAGATGAAAAAGTTGAAAGAAAACAATCTTTGCAAGCAGATCACTTTTGTACTTTTGCAACAGCATTTTCTATTTCAACGAACCACCAATTACGGTAGGAAACAGTGTACAAAGAATGGAGATGACGACAATTCAAAAAGTTACTGATGTAGCAGTTTTTCTTCTTTTTTTTAGTCAGTTTTAAGTTATTTGAAGTTGATAGTTGTCAAGTTACAACCTTCCTTTTATCTTTTCTACTATATTCTATTCAACAAATTTCATCTGCATAACTGTTTTTTTGTCAAACAAAAACAAAAAAAAGAAAGCAACTTAAACGATCCGTCTTTTTTGTTTTTTTGTTTTTCACTAACTTTATTTGTATCCGTCCATCTTCTCCGTTACTTCAACTTTGTATAATGTTTCAAAACAATCAAAATACGAAACAAGAGATGTTGTCAAAGTGAAAACAACGACAAAACAAACAAAGCAAAACAAAACAGAACAAAAAAAAAAAAAAATACTCTCAGAAGCAATAAACTGCTGCTGTATTAAGGTCAATCTTTATTACAGACAAGATCAAGTCAACGGGTGTATTAGTGCTCAATGCATCATCAACTGATGTAAAAAAAACAGTCAACTGAAAAATATTATCGTTTTTTTTAAGTACCAAAAAAAAAACAAAGAAATATCGTTGTCAAAAAAAACAACCACTATAAGTTTGGTAACTGAAACAACTTGAGAAGGAATTTTTAAATTCCTTTCTTCTTCTTTTTCTTCTTTCTTTTTACAGTCAAACTATTTTTTTGGCTTTTTTCTTGACCGATACGATGTACGTAGACGGCTTAATTCTTCAGAAAATATTTCGCCACTCTGTAGTGCAGTAACAAGCTGATCAAAATCTCGTCCACGATTATCCCGTCTTCTGGCTGTAATTTTCGACAGACAATAAATTTGATTTCTTGATTGTTTGACGTGAAAAAAAACATAATTTTAATATAGTGACAAAATTTTTTATTGTTGAAATTACATTTCAAAAAAAATTATATCAATAAACTTTTTTTTTTAGCAAACGTTTTCAAAGAAAAAAATCATTTATAAAAAACAAGAAAAAATAACACTTACGTTTTTTGGCAAAAATTGAACGAGCCAACGTCTGTTTCTTGATCCGTTCAATATTTTCACGTTCTTGCCAAATTTGATGATGACATTCAGCAAATGTATTTAAAAATTTGGAAAAAATACCAAAAAATTCATCTGGCGATGATTTCGACGGTTCTTCTCCATACATTTTCACACAGCTAGCAAACTAGAAAAAAAAAAGAAAGAAAATCTCGATTCCAATAAAAACTATAATTATATTTTTTGCTTTTTTGTTAATTGTACCATTCCTATTAAGTTTACTGGTAAAATTGCTGTTATTGTTAACATTATTACTATTGTCTGGTGAAATCACTTTTTAATTTGTTGTAAAATTATTCCAAAAAAGCTCTATTTTTACACAGAAGAGAACAGAATATATTTACCAATTTCTATCATCATCATCAAAACAAAAAACTTCTATCAACATAATGGTCTTATGTCTTTTTTCTTTACAAATTTTCCTGCCGTTGTTAAGGTTTTCAAATAATCAAGTTAGTACTAGAAGCTGAAGAAAAGTGGAGGTAGACGAGGAAGAATAAAAGCGGAATTGGTAAAAAAAAGAGAAATAACTGTGTAAAAGAATTGTAACCAGTAATCCTTCGATGAAAAAATTCAAATTTGCAACTTTATTTCATTTGTTATCACTCATAATATTTTTTATACTTATTATTACTTATCGTTATAACTGGTTGGTAATTATTTTTTTGTCTTGATCATTTGATGCTTGCACTGTTGTTAGCAACTGATAAAAAATCATTTGGGAAAGATGAAGAAGAAGAAGACAGAGGTTAAGAGTGATGTATCGGTACTTTGGTATCGGTATCTATCGGTACTTTGTTTCAGTTTTTTTTATTAATTTAACATCTATTGCTAAATGTTCAATTACCTTTTGGTTCATCTCATCAAACTGTTTGTCAACACCAACAAAATCTGTTTTTGCTGATGCTAAAAAATTTTTCAGTGCTGGCAAAAATCGATCTGCCGTTCGATGTTCAGTAATACAATCGGATGGTTCCGGTTCCAACAGTTCAACTGTGGTATCAGCAACTTTTTCAGCTTCACCATTTCGTAGTTCTTCGGCAACAGTAGCAATTGATTTCCGTAGTGCATTTATTTCTTGCTCAATTTCTGTACGACTGTAATTTTGGCATTGGAGGTTTTTCATGTTGATGAAAAATAAAAATGTTGATAAAAAATTTGCTGAAAAATAAACTAAAAAAGCATACAAAAACAATAGGTTTTTTTTCTTTTTTCTTTCTCTCTCTCAGATTTTTATTTACACACTGTATAAAGAGATACAGCAGTGAAAATAGAAAAAAAAAAAACAGTGATTTGTTCATCTTTTTATTTATTTATTTATTTATTTCTTTTTTATAATCATATATAAATCTTTCATAATTCTATTTCACTCTTTTTTTCAATTTGCTATAGTTTCTTTTCAACAGAAAAAGCAAAAAGCAAAAAAAAACAAAAGACATTAATTAACGTACAGTATAAATTTCATCTAACAGATGAGATCAAAAGCGAAAAAAGCAAAATCAAAAAAACAATGGTTCTGCTCTGTTTTTTTCTTTCTTTACTCATTTAAAAAAAAATCATCATTTTTTTTCTAAAGCTTTATAAAAATTAGCACTTTAGAAACGCTGAGAAAAAAGTGGTGAAAAA